ATTGTCAGCCGTCCTAGAAGACTGAACCAGACTGGACCTTTGAACGGGGAGGATGTGCTAGCGACGCTCCTACGCACAAAAGGGAATGATGGAAGTCATTTTTGCGTTGAATTAAAGATTCCAAACTAAATTCAGGAGTGATTGAAACTAACCTACGGTGGGATCGAAATTTTGATGACATAAATTTCTATCCCTTTACACCATTTTGATTAAATGTCGATCCTATTGTCCTTTTTTACCTTGTGGCAAATGCTTTTAGACGAAGAATTCATTTGGATAATTAAAAATTTTAATCAACCATAGTATCGTGTTTCGTGCCTCAAAAAAAAATTGCCCACAAGGTGGGACCAAAGGTCAAATGTTGCTTTGCCGCATAAACGGAGGGTGTGTGATTACAAAAATTGTGGCTACACCGTTGCATTTTGCTTGAATTAAGAATTTGCCTCTCCTTGGGTGAACAGACTGTGCTTTGATTTGGATCCTTTCAGTACACTTCTACATCGCATAATGTTTACGAGGCTGTTTGAGAAGCTGCTTTGATGATAAATAACTTTGCATCAAAGTAGGTTAGCCGACATTTGAACAAAGGGAACAACTCGAACAACTCGAAAGGGAAGTATGACAGCAGAGCAGCAAAGACCACCACGACCCAAACGACCCATTCAGTTATTGTGTTCTCAACTGCAAGTCGTTTCATTCATGATGAATGCTTTCACTCCTTGTAGAGGTTTCCACCCCACGACTCATCCGTTCCTGGACCAGGAACCTACAACACCAATCGAGACAAGTTTGACTCGTTTTGTACACTGAGGAACCAAAAAAAGATACCTTTCTTATCTTCGGACGCCAGAATGACTAAAACCGACACCAATCTCATTCCTGGCAAGTCTCTTTTGGTTGTATTTTAAGTTCTAACCTCATTAATGATCACTTTTGTCATTGACTCCTTGTGAAAAGTAAAATTAAGTCATTTTGGGCCGCATAACACAAACTACTAGTTAAAATTGAATCCAATGCCATTTCCATCACGTCCACATTCAATGAAACAGTCAAATTGCTGACCACAAGTACTTCTGCTCGGATGCCTATGCGTTCCAAAGGTCGCCAAATTTGTCTATCTCCGTTACGAATGCTATAAAAACAAGCCATTGTTAGTTAATTTAGCGAATTCTCCGGACACTGACCACTCACACTCCTAAGAGGCCTTAGCAGTCCACATTCTAGCAGTTGTGCGGAAACGGAAGAGATCGCATCGACATCGCATTGTTGCCTCCGACAACGGAAGGTGAAGGTTAAAACAGCCAATCATTTCGAAGAATGAGAACACTGGATCTCAAAATTCTTGCTACATATTAAAATGAGGAGGTAAGGGCGGCACCCTCCGTTTCACCTCGCCCACTCTCTTTTCACCACACAATTCTGAGTGGTTTCGCATAAAATGAATTAGTCGTAAATGAAAAGAAACCAAGGTTATGGGAGACTAATCACACTAACATCAAAAAATTGTGCTAAAATTGCTAATTAATTTTTGTACAAATGACCATGCACGTATATGTGGAGGTTTGACTGCACACCTCCGCATTTGGTGAAATTGTCTGCTTCCATATTGACAGCTATAATGAAAGTAAAAACGTTTTACTATTTTTAAAGAACTTTTTCTGTAGCCTTCTAGCACGCATCCTTTTTGTGCACGCACTGATTCTTATCGGGTGGGTAAAAATGTCATATATTTTTTTTGATTATACATCCGATTGCATGTTTTTGTTGCTTCCGACACAAAAAATGCGAATTGATTGGAATCTCAAATGACACTTTTATGCACGCTCACCGTTTTGTAAGGTAGACCAGAAAAAGCATTACATTGAGCTAAAATAGTTGTGTAAAACATTTAAAAAAGACTGACTGTAAGAGCTATTTTTGAGTGTTAATATTTCTCCTACTTATCACTTGCGTGCTCTACTGAATTACCTAATAAGTAGGCGCAAGTCGAATTATTTTTCGAAATTCTCTCAGTTTCCACAGCGCTATCTTGATTTATTTAAACGACGCCATAATAAGTATTTTTAAAGGGTTTTTCGACAGTCCATGTAGTGACTACACGTTTCGAGGTCAATCAACGGGTGCAGAAATCGGTATGAAAAGTTTCAAAATGTCAGCCTCTTAAGAATGGTAAGGAAGAGGTGCAGTTTGACTTAGCCACGTACATACAGTCAGTAGCGTTAAAAAAATTTTCAATATTTTTCATAGTGACAGCTTAGTAAGGGTGTTTTCTCTCAAAAATATCCCATCCTTTTCAACACCTCAAGCACCGTTTGACAAGATGATTTTAACACTAGCTTTTTGTATGTGCAAAATATAAAAAATGTGCCCTTACAACGCTGTATCTCTTAAGATGGCAATTCAAATTACGCATTTTCATTTTTAAGTGACTTAATGCAGACAGTCATCACACGTTACTTCGTCCTGACCAAATACGACACAGCGCGTTCGTCCATACGTGCAGAGCACAGCCCTGTCGTCCACCAACACCACAAACAAACCAAACATAGAAGATTAATAATTTTACAAAATCGTGACTAAATTTTTTTTACATCCGCGGAACCGATTAGTCACAGACTCAACCCTCAAATCAACAAACAAACAAACAACTAAGCTCCCCCCCCCAACCCTGTCAACACACGATTTACTAATTGTGTGTGGTAAGTGTGTAAGTTGTTGTTTTGGCAGACTCATAGACCTGCCAACGAGTTGTGCAAAAGGAGTGATGAAAATCTGATGAAGTAGTAGGTGGCCAAAATTTGGAGACTGCTGTCAAGACAAACTAGTATACCTCACTTCGTTCAATCCGGACTAATAATTTAATTTGTTGTCATTACGATAGCATTTGTAAGGGAAGGATTTTGTTTTATGAAGGAAAAAAACTATCTGGTCAAAGATGTGTAAAGCGAATTGTTTTTTAAAGGTGATTTTACCTTCTGCAA